CCCCCCCCCCCCCAAAAGGACAGTCCTTAACTGCAAGGCTCTCTACTGTCATCAATTAAACTTCAGTCCATCTCCCATTCACTGTATCTGATAATTGTCTTATTCAGTCATTCCATCATCTGGGATCACAAAGGGTTACATGGGAGGAGCAAGCCCTTCCTCACCTCCCCATTGTTTTGCTCACACAGGCCACAAAGAATTTTAAGAGGAAGGTTCCTTCTTGTGTGTAGGTTTTATACGTCAGCAAGAACGCTAGAAAATCTGAGAATTTACTCACATGTAGAGTCTACACACAAACAGGTTGCTTCTGCTCTTCAGACATGTTACTATTCATGAGAACAAACCACAGAAGACTGGAGCAGGGCTGATGATTCTAGATTGCAGAATGACTAAATAGGGCTTATAGGTAGTTGCAAAGGGAGGCATGGAGGGAGAAAGGGAAGAGAAAGGAATAGCTCCATGTATGAGCATCACAATCTCCCTGGATACAGCATACAATACCAATAGAAATGGACAATAGAGATCCATAGATTCATTGGCTGGGGACACAGGACAAGGCCTTCTCTGTTGCTGCTCCCAGACTCTGGAACTCCCTCCCACAGGAGGCCAGGTTGGCCCCATTTTGCTGTCCTTCCACAAACATGCAAAGACCTTTTTCTTCAGGCAAGATTTCTTCCAGTGACTGGCTTCCTGAGTGGGATTTTTAACTACTTTGAATGTGATTTTAGTATTGCTTTTGTTTACCATTTCTCAGAGAGGTATTTGTTTGTTCCTTTGTAATATTTACATACTTAATTGTTTTTAATTTTGAATATTGTCTTTTAATGATATAAGCTCTCTCTCTATACTCATTGGTCTAAGCTTTAAATATGGTATTTTAATTATGTAAACTGCCTTGGGTCCTTTTAAAGGAGAAAGGTGGGGTAAAAATACTTTAAATAAACAAATAAAATGAGTCCTGGGCTGAACCATGTCACCCTTTAAGCCTGACTCAAATTTTCCCCATGTGACCTGTCTTCAGTTTTAAGCTGTGGTGAGGCCTAATAGAATAAAGGAGGACAGTGAAGCAAACATAATAGCTAGTACCGTACTGTGTTTAGTATTTACATGTGTAAAACTCTAACTATGGAAGCTGCTCCACTGATCTGCAGAACTGCTGGCTGAATGGCTGGATATAGCATGTCAGATCACCACATGAGTTTCTACAGTTAGTGTCCAAGGCGCTACTAAATACTGACCAAGGTACTGCCGATGTCCACTGATCATGGCACAGTAATAGCTAGTACCGTACTGTGTTTAGTATTTACATGTGTAAAACTCTAACTATGGAAGCTGCTCCACTGATCTGCAGAACTGCTGGCTGAATGGCTGGATATAGCATGTCAGATCACCACATGAGTTTCTACAGTTAGTGTCCAAGGCGCTACTAAATACTGACCAAGGTACTGCCGATGTCCACTGATCATGGCACAGTAAATCTCATTCAGGAGATGGAAGATTGTTGTCTCTCTCTCTCTCTCTCTCTCTCTCTCTCTCTCTCACACACACACACACACACACACACACACACACACACACACACACACACACTTCTTCCCATTTTCATCTGAAAACATTTTGAGAAAGTGAATATTTAGGCACACTCTTTTTAAAGGATAAACACGAATAATTTCTGAACATATTCTTTCTGATGGAGAGGCTTTGGACAGGCAAAGGCTCCCGAGTGCAGAAATTGCTCCCCCCGCAAGCCGCAAGTCTCTTATTTACTACAGACTGATGCAGGAAGGAAGCCTTTTGGAATTTTGGATTAGGATGATTAGCCAGCAATTAAGTACTGTACTACTGAAATTAATGGGGTTTCATCCTAAATAATGCTTAGGTCTTCTAATGAAGTCTGCTTTTACATAAGAATTAACCAAAGCACAACAATTAGAAATGAACCAAACAAACACGTTTAAGATTAGCACCTAATTATAAAGACATCTACTTTAGAGGGTCAGAATGAAAAGCTATTGTCCCCTTGATTCTGGTGGATATTTTGAACCATAATCTTCATTTCATACAAATTAAAGCATACAGAGAGAAAGACACTAACAAAGAGAGGAGGTGGCAAGATAGCAAGAGATTGTATTCTCGAAGGCTTTCACGTAGCATATCTCATAGCAAGAGATTTCCTGCAGATAGAATGCAGCCCAATGTGGTGTAGTGTAGTGGATAGAGTTATGGGCTGGGACTCAGGTCCTTTGGCTTCAAATCCTGGTACTTAACCATGGAAACTCAGTGGAGGAGTGGAACTGGTAAAACCACTCTTTAAATACCTCACTTATCTATGAGGGTTGCTGTAAGTCAGTTCAGACTTGAAGGCACAAAACAAGGACACATTAGGACCAAAACACAAGGGAAAAGCTGAGGCCAACCTTTTCTCTGTCCTATCAGAGGGGAAGGAATAACCCCTCACTTGATAGTACACCGTCCATCCAGATTCAGACCTTTCCAAAGCAGCATGTTAGCATTTCCAAAATCCAAGTATGGATCTCCTACTATCACATCACCCTTATGTAGACACAAACTCAAGTCAAAGATAGAGATTCCCAACTTGGCCTCCCAGCATTCTGAATACGTACTGGCAAAGAATACAGTATTTCACTCTGTTGCACCATGAAAAGGAGGCATCTAGGCTGCGATTCATAGGGATAATTTAATATTTTCCGATGTACTGGTTTCTCCATAAAAACTGCTGTTCCCACCACCAAGGGGTTATATTAAGAAAATATATGTATCATATACCTGGCATAAAGCATCTGGGGAGGAGAACCTCTATCATGCAAAGAGCAGATGAGAAGGGTTAAACCTTTCCTCCCCATGAGCCACAATCTTAGCCCAGATTGCCAGTTCCTTTGATAACAATGTTATTTGCCAAGGTTTACATTTACATGCAGCTTTTTTTAAAAAAAGGTTCTAGCTCAGAGAGACCAAAGAGCCATTCTCGTTGGTCATATCTGGTCTGACAAGATGGATGTTTCTCTGATATTTTAAGCCAAAAAGCACTGGCAAAGATCTAGCCATAATAAATCTGCTTTAGTTCTATAGATTTCAGTGGGAAGTTAAACATGCACATTAACCTCTCCTACTGGAAAAAAAAATGGGACCCAAAAGCTCTTAACCCTGGCTGGATCATGCCTTTACCTTAGTAAAATACAGACATATTTTATGGAAATTGGAAACTGCAAATAATAATATAAAGCTGTCTGAACAAAAAGGCTTACATTATATTACTGCATGACCAAATTTATGTGAAACATATGATACCGATGTTTGTATTGGTTTGTAACCTAATGTTTCTAGTGGCATGTTTGTTATGTGCAAAATAAATATAAATCTTTACTGTGATTGTTTTTCGTTAGATACAGAAAACTAACAGAACGAACAACAAAATAGTTACTGCAACATATCTATGTCGTCATCATAATATTAATTTTAAAGGTATGCACAGAGATACTTGCTCCTTAAATAAGGGAATGCATGGCAGATACTGTTGTGAAGGATTTTAAAAATAAATAAATACATTATTTTTACCTCTCCCAAATTCATTATAAAGAAGCATACCTTGAAACACCTTATATAGAAACATACCCTTTGAATTCAATAGTTATCTCCAGCTACTGACTAGAATACTTCTAATAACTCTATAGGTAACTGTGGGAGATGAAAAATTATAGATCTGTGACAGTACCTCATGTTAATTAAGAAAAGGTATTGCCTGTATTAAATCATATAAATATATTTGAAGGACTGCATAAAGACTTAACTGTCATATATTCCTAGAATCATGGAGTTGGAAGGGAACTATAAGGTTATCAAGTCAAACCCTCTGCTCAAGGGAAGAATCCAAGTCAAAGTATATCTGTCCAAATTAAAAGGCTAGAATTCTTATTAATAATTATTTTAAAAATACAAATAGGTATACGAAACAAAGTGTAAAACTGGTTAAAGAAAATGGATTTATCACATTATATAGTTCCTTCCCATGTAATGACATAGAAAATGGGGGAAATGCATCACATTCCCCTGCTCCACTTCAGTGACATTTTTATCCCTACGTTTTCCATGGTTTACAATGGAACAAATGCAAAGATCTTTAAAAGATGTGTGATGCTATTGCAGAGCTTAAGAACTGGATTTCACAGGGGTGCCCTTATTTCACGTTGTTTTAGAACCAGCATGCAGTTATCAACCACAAGGTAAAGAAGGTAGCTATTTGCACTTCATCACTGAATTTAGTCCCCTCACCTGCAAAGTAGGTGAGGGGATTAAATTCACATGAAGCCAGAATCTTATATGTGTGGGTCAAAGTGGAAATGGCAAGGACCCCAATCTCACCCCCCCCCCCCCGCTTCAAAACACAGTGACAGCAAAAGGGTCTCCAAGAAAATCATTGCAACGGCACATACGATTTTCTTTTTTTCAGCTGAAGACGCTTGTTTGCCCGTTTGTAGAAAGTTGCACAGAAAGCTAAAATGCTAAGAGTGAGACAGAGAGAGAGAACCAGAAGCAAAAGTGCTAAGTTTGTAGCTTACCTTTCTCAAAGTTGAAGCCACCTGATCTTAGAAAAATATGCACATACAGCCCAGGTAGGAATGTTCTCTCCGTTGCCCTTTGCTCTCCCAGCTCTGAAACACTTGTGCTTCTCTCCTGACAAGCCGGCCAATTGCCGATCCCTGTCTTCTGCCTCATTTATAGAATGCCAGCTCCTTTGTCTGGCGCGTGTCACCACTAGCGCTAGCGATCCGGGGAGCTTATTCGGCATCTCCTGGGAGATTCTTTTTCATGCTCCATCTTCTTCCCTACTAGAATTCTAGCTCCTGCTAGGATAAGCCGAAACGGCAGCTTTTGTTCCGAAAAGAATGTGCTCCTACAGATTTCTAAGTCTCTTAGGATAAGCCGAAACGGCAGCTTTTGTTCTGAAAAGAATATGCTCCTACAGATTTATAAGTCTCTTTTCTTGCGGAGGGGGAAATCTTGAAAAAAAAAAAGCTATTATTTGAAAAAGGCCCACATGTGAATCCAGAAGGGTGGAACAAACTAGGCCTAGTTTGAAAGTGTTGGTTTTGGTACGTGTGTGTGTGTGTGTGGGGGGGGAAATAATAGGGCTCCATCTTTAGGGACTTCAAATGTTAGGCACAGTCACCTGCCAAAAGACTGGCCTGAAAAGTTCCTCTGAGCATGTGCAGAATGCTTCTCACCACAATCACTTGGAGCCAGGGAGTGGGGAGTGGTTATAGATCAGCAGGCACAGCTTCCAAGCAAGCTTGAAAAACTGGCGCTACTCTTTTTGGACAGTCATCATCACCAACACTCAGCACCAGTGACAGGCCTTTGGGAACGGGGCTTCTGAAAAGCATGACTCATCGGTCAGGTTATGCACAGAAAGGTCCATTTGCAAGCGTGGCGTTTTGTATGCTGCCCACGTGCCTACTGCGACACATTTCCCATCTCTGCAGGTGTAGGTAGGTAGGGTGATGCAACGAACAGGAGCAAAAGGAAAGGGCCCCTTGGCCTCAGAACTGAACATGCCTTTTGGCTCAGCCTCTGGTGTCTGCATTTAAAGGGACTTGTGGGGCCAAGTATCATACCTATTCAGGCCCCTCTTAAGTTGCTGCCAACAAACATGGGCAATACCAGCACAAGGGGACAGGCCAGTGTTCTGGTGTTATAAGGTATCAATTGTATAAGGATCTAGTAGGATCTTTCAGAGGGCAGCCTGAAAAGAGATTAAGAAATACATTTGGCCAAATACGGTGACAATCCTCCCCATGTTGGAGAAATCCTTTTATTCCAGATCCCCAATAATGGGGCTGTGACTGGATCCAGCTGAACATGCTTATACCCTCCGTCCAGAGCTTCCCATGGGGACATAGAAAGATAAGAGATGGAGGCTGTAGGGACTGGATCGCCCTGATTCTGCGGCAGTAATGAAACCACTCTGGGTTTTAATCAGAACTTTAAAGTAGTTCTCCGAAGTGCGGAATAGACATGGGAGCTTTGTATTCGTATCCCAGAGGATACGAATAGGAGGCTTGGCACCACAGATCCCATGGCGGTCCATTCCTGCCCCCCCCCCAGAACCAGCTTGACCCACTCACCAGGCTCCTCTCAGCACGCACATCCTACGGCGGCAACATAGCATCAACCGTGGACCTAGTCCCACCAGTGCTGGCCTGCCTCTTACCATAGCCGATTGCTTCAGCGAGGAGGCGGGAAGACAAGTATTCCTGCTCAGGTCCTTTTTCAGACCGACCCCTCAATAAACTTGACCCATGAGAATTAAGCACATTCAACAGCCATGGAATGTCAAAGGAAAAGAAGAAGAAGATACGGCTTTCTGGCAGGATCTGGAAAAGAACCGTTCCTGCTAGATAGAGAGAATACACTGCAACATTTTGTTGCAGGTCTCATTTTTGTTATCTTATCCTGTATCATCCAGGCCAAACCTCCACTGGATTCCCAATCTGAAAACAAAAGTACAGGTAAGGGTAAATGAGGAGATGCACGGAAGGTTGGCAACCTTATCTCATTTGTGGCAGATTGTCACTCATTTCCTCTCCTTACTGACACATTTTTGAAAATTCCCTTTAATGCCTTTTCTTTGGGAAAAAAAGTTGGCAAGACACAAAGCCTGCACTACTCAGGCCCACCAAACTGAACGCAGCCCACAAGCTTACACGTTGTGTGGCCAGGCAGATAAATCGCAGCGTCATTTCACCGTCCCAGGAAGGCAGGAGACATAAGCTTAATTGAGTCGCACAGGTCATCATCATCAGCCAGAGCTGCTGTGCTTCAATCAGCTTGATGAGTTTCATAAAAGCATACAATCGCGCGTACAAACATTCTCTTGCAAACATGTCAATATTGCAGAAGAATCTCAGGGTTTATAAACTGAAAAGATGCCATGGTTTGGAAACATAATGTTGTTAATATGGGTGTTTTAAAGCACATAGCTAAATCATACCAGCTGCAACAAAGAAGAAGCATTAAACCAAGAGCTGTCTTGAATTACTACAGAGCGATGGTATATAGCAGATCAGGAACAATGGGCGGAAGAGCTGCCCCAGTCCTGTTTTCACAACAGAAAGGACAGCATCATTTGCCAGAGAGGTATTTGGGGATATTTCACACTTGGGCAGTTGGAGGACAGCTCTGGACAATCACATGACCCCTTTTGCTTGATGGATCGACTTCAGTCTTCGGCATGCCTTTGGTCAGCCGGTGAACTTCATGGCTGTGAGATGTGGCCCCAGGTCTTCCCAGCCAACAACATAAATCCTAATAAACATATCACACTTTCTGAGTTCACTACAGTATTCTATGATTGTTGGCTCATAATTTGGATGCTATGCTGTGCACTGCTGCTTTGGGGGGATATATATAAGGATTGACACCGCCATTTGCATTTTTGGACTTATTTTGGGGTTCCGGCTATGAGGGCGAAACAAAAGAATCATGTGCCAGTCCAGAACTGTCCTCCGACCGTCCACATTTGAAATACATATCAGGATGCCTGTCAGGATAAGTGCTATCAGGATGCATGCCTGCATTTCAACATTTGCAGACAGATCTATGGACAATTGTTAAGAAGTCTGATTTTTTTTTAAAATTATTGTTCTTGGGACTAATCCAGTGCATTTTAAGTGTCTTCACCAATTTTTAAATGAACCTGCCTTTTGCATTTCCTGCAAAGGAGAGTAGGTATGCTAGGGTTTCCACCCACCCACCCAAGAAGAACCACTATCTGACCGAACATTTGCAAAATTTGCTGCTTCTCTGATGGAGCTGCAAAAGAAATACTGTATACCTTGGAAAGGAAGTCAAAACGTGTTAAGTCAGCTCCCCCCCCAAAAAAGAAGTGCTGTACGTACAGCATCCATGAACATTTCTTCTTTGGTTTGTGCATTTTGAATGGGGCCTCCATGACAATCTGACCCCAAATAAAAACAGTGAAGGAACATTATTCACGGTGTCGACACTCAAAATATCAGTGGCTTGGAAAAAAAAAAGAGGCCACACATTCTTGGGACTCAAGGTTCCTTCTCTGGCAGGACTAAATTGAAGGCCGGAGCCTTTCTCATGGTAAATTAAAGCAGCAGCCCTGCCCTCTGAAAGCTGTGTCAACTGCTTCATTTAGCACAAGTGTTATGTTAACTAAATCCCCCACTCCCACATTTGAATGGGGCCTTTGCCCTCCCAGAAGCCTGATTTCCATATCATTTGCATTGGAAGGTTGCCAAAAGCACCTCTAAGGTGGATCCTCCTCCAGATCATTATTTACCCACAGCCTGCAGCAGAGAGATATTCTAGCCAGGAATATTTTTTTTGGGGGGGGGGAAGCTTTGCTCAGTGGGTCTTACAAAGGAAGGAAAGAAGAGAAAAGGGGCTATCAATATTTCTGTGGCCACATCCCATTAGTATGATGTTTGTTGCCGTAGTAGCTGGTTTTCTTGTCCTGTTGGTTGTAGTTTGTTACCATCAGTAACGTAAGACGTTTCAGAGGTGGGGGCAGAGTAGACTGGACAGATTCAAGATCTATTAAGTAATAAACTTGAATTCCACGTTTCAAATAGGTTTCTTTTCCCAGGAGCAGGTTATCTAAATTGTTTACTTTAAAAGTAAACATTTATTTTCAAAGCATTCTTCATACTTTTATACCTTAGCAATATTGGGTGCAATCAGATAAGCATTTAGCCTGCAGTTTGGACCACTGCAGGGATGGGTTCCTTTGCTCCTTTTGGCAGTGTCACATGACATAATCACCAGAGTTAACCAAATCACCCCTTTCCTACCTTTCTGGCCTCTGTCAGGAAAAGGTTTCTTCTTTTTTTGGTTCTGGGTAGGGCCACTCTAGTGTGGTCCATTTCCTGCACATGGGATCACTGGAAATGTACCAAAAGCGAGCCTTCCTCTAATTTGTCAATTTCGTGAAGTAGCTTAAGAAAAGATCCACTTCCTGACACTGTCATATTAATCACTTCCTTGACTCCATGGAGGGACAAGGAAGGAAAGAAAGAAAGAAAGAAAGAAAGAAAGAAAGAAAGAAAGAAAGAAAGAAAGAAAGAAAATTAAGCAAATACTTAGGCAGTAAATATGTACTGCACCACTTTAAAGACCAAAAAGACTAATGGTAAGCAAATGTGTATTAGAGCAGTGCAATGCAGCCTATCAATTTAGCTACTTTGAAAATACCCATTTGCTTTCCATTAGTCTTTCAGCGATGCAGCACAAATTCACTCCTCTAATACACACTTCTTAAAAATAATAACTTCCTTGGCCCCTCCGTGGAGCCAAGGAAGGGTTTAATTTGCCAATATCACAAAATGGCGCTCTCTTTAAGCCACTTCACTGTGTTTGTAAATTGACAACAGGCTGCTGCGGACCAAAGAGGGTTGCTTGAGATCTGTATGCCATTTGGATGGGAGGATCACACCAAATGATATTCAGGACCTCCTGGTGACCCTATTTAGCCCATTCCAGTCCACTACTAAAGCCAGAAGTAGATCAGCCCATTGTCTACAAAGAGTCACTTCTTTGTTGTCAAAGCACAACAACCCTTTTTAAGGCTTACATATTTCATACATACATGCCCCTGTATTTCTAGTAATAGCCAGGATGTAACACCAAATAACACCAGACCAAATGGGCGGGATATAAATCAAATAAATAAATAAAATAAATAAATATACATGACTCAGAGAAAATCTCTTATGTCGTCTGAAATATTGTAATAGTAGGTAGTACTCATAAACCAATAATTAGGGAATATAGATTTAAAACTCACATAGTTATTTGCATAATTATGTTATAAATCACCCAAAGAGTGCTTT